ATGCTGCACACGGGAAATGATTCAGCAGCATCTTCCTGACAGGAAATCAAAATAATAAAAACTGCAGCTTCCAAGCGTAGTGATGGAAAATAGTCTCCCTCAGAGGAAATCAATTATGGAGGCCTATGTTCAGCATTGTACTTTTAACGGACTCAAAATACTCAATTAGTAGATGAAAGAGATGAGACTATATAATATATAGAAATACACTTCACTAATCAAAATTTCTGGCAGCTCAAAAGGACCGATTATCTATCCATTCGAAGTTCTGGTCCAAAGGTTAATCTTAAAGTGATCGATCTTTTCTCATCAAATTTGGATTTTATACGTGCCACTCGCATAAGTTATGCAAAAAGTCATGTAAAAAGTTATGATATCATACATAAATATGTACGGTGTTGTACTAATAAAAAAACTACCAATTTTGTTGCTAAAATCAATAGGGATGTGTTGTGAGAGGGCAGCATCTTTATAATAGTTGCATTATTCTTGAGATGTATCTGCGGGTGTGTTGTGCTTGATTGAACGCATCTTGTGGTTCTGATCGATGCAATTATGCGGGCGGTGATTTCTGCTAGAATCTTATGTCGGACCTTGGGATGGTGTAAGCCCGACGATATTCATATTAATGCTTGTTGCGTTCTACAGCATTGCGTCTCTGCAATGCATCTTGGTTAGACTCACATGTAAGTAGCTTTCCCAAGTCGGGTCCCTTCGTTATAGAGGTGCAGGCTTTTTGGTCTCCATGTCTTGTCATATTTTAATAGATGGTCTATATTATACCACATTAAAGGAGAGCATCATACTATGTTTTTTGATAGTTGTGTTTACCGCTTTCTCAGAAACGGCTGTTTATTTAGCAGCTAATTACCTATACATCATTCAGTAACATTAAGTATGTGTGTTTCCTTAGACTACTCAAAAGGATAAAAAAAACTTTTAATCAAAAGTAAAATCGGAATTCAAAAACTATTATCATCATCATCACCATTACAGCTTCTTACAAATCCACTGATGAAAATCCTCTCCAAAGGAATGCCACAAAGTACTGTACTAAGCTACCAGTATTCATCAACTTCCTGCAAATCTTTTTTTTTGTGCGAGCAGCTATGCAGGTCTAGAGTGAGATCACGCAGAGAAACTCCGAGCATAACCCATAGTTAGCTGAGCGACCTTGAGTTACCTCATACAGACAGCAGTGAAGGACCACGTTTCAGATACGTATATTATCACTGGCAATACGCACTGTTTGCATATTCTTCTTTTCAAGTTTCTAGAGAAGATGTGATGTAATCTCCTGATTGTCGTAGTTGGACTTACCCAGTCGGACTATTTGTCCTAGGTAAACATACTCGTCACTAACTTCAACCGTAGTGCTACCAACAAATATGGAAACATAACATGGACGTTTTTTTTGAACCTCACAAATGACCTTTTTTTGTCTAGTTGTATGAAAAGACTTATCCGTCGGAATACACTGTTGAGTTCATTGAACATAGTGATTTGTTCCTGCAGCGATTCTGCCACAAGGATCATCTTGAAAAAACTACAAAAGATCCAATCATTTATATATATATATATATATATATATATATATATATATATATATATATGTCAAAGCTACAACCAGTACCTGTCAGTTTACTAGATCGAAATCATCATCATTGATTGAATAAAAAGATACGTTTACTGTAATTCATAGGTTAATGTTTTAATGGTTTCGGTATCACACACCTGATGGCGAAACTTTAATAAGAATAAACAAATCAAGCGCAATGACTTAAAATATTTTATATTATCATGATGAAGTAGGGCGAAGCTCTTCAAAAACCAAAAATAAAAGCTTATTGCATAAAAGAAAACATAGTTCCTAATTATTTCATTTTTGAAATAAAATATGTGTTATCTATATGATTTCTTTTCATAAATGATTCAGTATAATTCTTATAATTCAAAATAGTGCAATTTGAAAGAGAATCATTTCGACTTACATAAAATGTTTCAAATAAACATTTCTTCTTACTCTTTAACTGTGAAGCGTGCAACCTTTTTTTGAACTACGGTCAACTACCTCGTCAACGCAAGCAATAACGCTTTTGACGGTACACATTACGTACATCCACAATCTATTGACCTCCTGTGTATTTCATCAGGCCGCCTCCCAGTATAATATCCTACAAACGTTATGTAAGCCCCCTCCAACATGTATGCAGTTTGAGCTAACAGAGAGTCTCTCCAGCGTAAATTAGCTATCCCCTCCATCTATTAATCTTCAGTACTGTCAGAAAAAGAAGTCCTCTTCCCATAACTGGTCTGTGAAATATGTCCTAAGGGATGACAACAAATCTAAATTTTGATTCTTAATCGAGGTTAGATATTGCTGTCTATGGACCACAGCAACCATTTACCATCAAGTGGACTGTGTGCCCGCTTATCACCCTTATTCTATAAAAAAATACACTTTGTCTTAGTACCGGATTATGAAGCTCTTATGTGGATATTATTTAATTATTTTAGTTCTTTTAACAAACACTAAGGTCGTAATAAGTTTTAAAATTCACAAATCATAAGACTTGCAGATTGCTTGTAGATTGCATCTACCGGCATGCATTAATCGGAAGATTTGTTCACATTAAATGGAAGTAATGGTGCTCCCCATAACTGGTCTGCGAAATTTGTATTCATCATTGCAGACAGACTTTCACCCAAAACCGTCTAAGACGTCCTAACTTCGTCTTCAATCAACAGGACGCACCTTGTGATTAAAACTTGCATAAAATACATTATATTCATAGACATATACCCCCTATTGACATATTTTTCTCGTCGCTACTTTAATTACATTATCATGAGTATATGTCACGATAAGAAGATCATGATGTGTCCATAACCCACTAACCCTTCTTCGACGCGATACGAAGGACGAAAAATGCTTTCAGTTAAACTGGATTTCATATTTATTTTATTCATTCACACCTTAACTCTTATTTTTATTTCAAAACTGCTTTTTGCCCGCGGTAAAAACAATATATTTCTCACATTTAGTCGGAGAAATATTCGAAGGATTTCGAGAATATATCGGATTGTGCGCGATCAACCAGCATAGAAGTAGCTCTGTGGTTGTGTTCCCTAAATAATATTTAGTTTCGAAAGTTTTTCATCACGCTTAAAGTAAGAATGATAAAGATCTCATATAGTACATAAAGATTGTGTGGTTATATAAAAATCTCAAGTAAAGCCGGTCTTAAAGTACGTAGGACACTCAATAAGTTTTGAGATACACAAAAAGTGTTTTAGAATTATTAATATTTATTTTACATCTTTTCAAAATATACTTCATCATGCTCTATACAAAGTTTCATTCGCCTAAACTAACTTTGAAAACACTTTTGGTCTTGATCTGATAGGTCGGAAATCGCTTCTTCGTAGGCAGCCACGGCTTCATCGGCGTTTGATAAAAAATTGCTTTTTATTTTTCTTTGACTCTTAGGAACAAAAAGAAATCACAAGGAGCTAAGTCAGGGCTGTAGAGTGGATGACTAAGAGTTTCAACACCAGATTCCTCAATAAATGCTTTTGTTCTAAGGGAAATATGTGAAGAGGCGTTATCGTGATGCAGCATGATTCCCCGAAGCCCGGTCTTTGGTCTCCCCTCTCGCACAGCTTGAAAAGCTTTGTATAATGCAACTGTAGTATACTATGCAGAGTTGACTGACCTACAATTTTGCAGCATTGACGTGGACAAATGACCGCTCCGCGAAAAAAAACTAGCTACCATTATTTTGGCGACGTTGCGAAGTCTTTGCAGTTTTGTCGGTAACTGTCCTTCTGAGTAGACCCATACCGATGATTGCCTTTTATTTTCCGGATCATACTGATAGATCCATGTCTCGTCACTAGTAGCGATTTCTGAAATACGCCTATACCCTGATACCCTGTTTTCAAAACGTAGAAACATTTCATGGCACTAATTCCCACGAGTCTGTTTTTCGCTTTCGGAGAGCAAATGAGGGATGCATAAAAAACAAAGCTTCCCTACTCCAAGATGTTGATGTAGGATGGTATGGATGCTCCCCGAAATAATGCCTACAATCTTTTTGATGTCCGTATATGTGATTTGTGGGTCTTCTCGCACCAACATTTCAGTAGTCCATACATTTTCTGCCGTTAGTGCTGTTTGCGGGGCCCCGGTTCTTAGGTCACATTTAAGGTTAATGTTAAATTCAGAAAACTACCTAAAAATTGTTACGAGTGATAGAGGTGAGTTCTCTAATGCTGATTGTAGCCGTTATAAGCTTAATTGTTCAGTTAAAATCATAATAGATCATAGCGCTCAAATGTTCACGGTTAAGATCCATTGTTTTAAATGAAAAGCGCGGAAAGCGTTGCAGCAAAATTAATAGAAATTTGTTTTCTTTAATATTGAGCAATTGGCTTATGGAGTTTTATTTTTAAATAAATTTGCTTTTTAGAAATATATCACGGGTGCGTTCCATTTTTAAATTTCGAGCATCTCAAAACTTATTGAGTGACCTACGTATTATTTAAATAAAGAAAAGTTGAAATCGTTTTTGTTTTTTCATTGAGTCATTTTCATCAAGTTCGGCCCACAAATAAAACTCTAGAAATTTTACGTTTGGTGATCTCGCCGGCCAGTTCACAGGTTAGCCGCGACCTATCCACCTATCACCGAATTCTTCAAAAGTTAGTTTCTAATATCCAAGGTTAACAATTAACGATTTAATAGATCTTAAAAAAACAAAGAGGTGGTTTTAAACGAAGTTTATTTACTATACATACCAACATAACAAACAATATAAAAACGTAAAAATATGGCAGTGTACATCAGTTAAAACGAATGTTAAGAACGATGTGATACGGGTGTCTCGCCTCACACCCTTTTATGGCGAAGGATATTTTTCCTAACCGACTTATATGAATAATCAATTATCAGATGTTGTTTGTAATTGATTACTCATAGGACTGAAGTCATGTAAAACTTATCTCCTTGTCGGAGCGACCTTGGGGATTGAGTCGCCTTCAGCGCGATAGCCATTTTCATCAGCGACGTAGTTAACAGTCTCAACTTTGCCTTCAGAATTGGTGTAAGAGTAGGAACCTTCGACAACGACGACATTCTTGGGCTTGTTCTCTTCATCAAGGACTTGCTTCAGTTCACCACGTTCGCCGCGATTGATACCATTCTCGGTTTCGAAGCTAAAGCAAATAATAAATATATAATTTTAGATCTCTGAATATCGTTTAACTGCAGCTTCACGATACAATATTAATACTACAGAAATACTTAAATAACGAGAGTCCACACCAAAGGAAACAGAACAGCATCTAAGAAGCAAGGCGTGTATGTCCTTGTGATCGATTTCTCATACTGCGACTATCTTCAGGAGTAATATAATTAACCATACATATGTGTTTGAGCCAGCACAAAAGCTGACTTTCTTCTTACTTTATTTTATGGGGAAAACGGTTGCAAGTCAAGAAATCTTCAGTAATTATGAAAATTAATACCGAAAATGAAATGTAGATTACACAGATACTCATAAAGAAATTAGGTGGGGTTTTTTTCAATACAATGAAATTTTTATTTGAACTTCATTTAATAATTTACCTATTAAAAAATTTATTTGTTAAACGACTCGAGTTATCTAAATAACTTTCTTCGTAGCAATAATGATAGTCATTCAATAGTTATAGATAGTATAAAACATACAAATACAAGTAATATAGTGGTTTTTGATTTACCTGTAGACGTAATTTCCATCGGGTTCTTGTCTCGATTCAGAACGAAGAGTCTGTGGAGGTACAACATACACTCGTTCACCTTCGGGCCTTACGTTGGCCACTGCGGCAGATGCGACGGCCACAAGGGCAAAAACGGCAACAATCGTCTGCAGATTAAATAATAGGTAATGATAATAAATCTATGAAAAAATTCAACTGTCATCTTTGAGTTAAAAAGCGTTACAACGTACCATTTTCATGTTTGGGGCTTTTGATTTAGTTTCGTTGCTACCAGATGAGCGACTAATACCTAAACGCTTGAAACTAATTCTTTTATACATTTCTACCAGCTTCAACAATCTAATGAAATGTCAAATGGCAACAAACATACGATGTCGACATTCCGGCTCCCCGGATTCGGTTATCAGTAATCACATACCAAAGTGTTTACATGTGTGTGCCAACAAACAGTATTTGACAAATCAATGTGTGTAGCACGCGTTCACGCAGCAATTTAAAGGTTTTTTGCACATATTTGCTTAATGATTTGTCACATAATAAATAAAACTAGTTTTACGGATTTCATTGCGTATATTAATATTTTTTATATTCCCCACATTTCGAGTAAATACTTATGGCCACGAGGAATGAGGTGTTTGATGTCCCAATGTCATAGTTAACCATGGCTATCTTCAGATTAAAATTATTAATTTTTTGTCCGATCTACATAGTATAATATCTTGACTTCTTACAGTTGTGTGCTTGGGTTGGCATTCAATTTTATTAATTACAGTATCCTCTTGAAATTTCGATAACCTCGAGAATAATCCTTAGAAGGAAAGGAATCGGTATTCTTTAGCGAGGATCTGTGGTCTATCAAACCTAATGTAGTGATGGAGGCAATCCTGTAGGTGTTCACAGACTGTAGACTTTTATCATGACTTTTTAAATTAAAAAAAACATTCTAGTTTCAATGTAGAAGATAGCTGATTGGTACCATCCGCTTTGGATCCTATTATTAATAAAATTAAATTTCAGCCCAAGCATGCTATATATATAAGCTTAGATCGGCCCAAAAGTTAATAATTTTAATCTTAATGTAGACGTGGGCGTCTACTTAAGGGACGTATAACATTGGGACGTTTAATACCTCAGCCTTCCCCCCTCCTCCCCCCGTGACTATAGGTACTGTAAAGTACGCTAAACGATGGGAATACAAAATAAGTGAATATACGCGATAAAATCCATAAAGTTAATTTTATTTAAATGTGTAGTGTTCAGGTATACATAAGAAATAATTTTTTTCACAAAATACTTAAACATGTATGTACATATTCAGATCGGATTCGCATTTAAGGTTTTGAGCTTTGTTATTTCAGTGTGTTGTTGTATTTGACTCAGGTAACTAATAAAACATTCATTTGCTTTCCCACTTCACACATCTTTCGAGTTTATCGAGAAGTATTCCGTGATGAACAAATTCAAATAATTTACTCTTATCCAAAAAAGGAGCTATCACCGGTGCACCGTCATTAATGCATTCTATTATAAAGTTAAAGAATTGGAAGATTATATGAAAACAACTTACTATGTATCTTAAGTATTGCTTTTTTAAAAAAATTGATTAAATTGCTCTATTTCAAAAGGTCTGTAATTATTCACACTGTTCTAATTATTTGTGAGCAAACTATAAGTTTATTGTATTACTCAGTATTGGTGTCACATTTATACAACTTAAGTTTAATATTTTTGTTGGTAACACATTATACCCCACTGATTTAGTATTTCGTGGTAACGCTAATTATATTTCAGAGGATTAATGATATCTAATGCAAACTGGGACTGTAACTTTTCCGAAAATGATAACTGTGACAAATTTACTGTTTGCATTAAATGCGATAAAATATCATTATGCATGTATGAAGGTAGATTTACAAGCGACGTGGGTATACCCTGAATGTGTCCACTATTTTGGTAAAAAAGTTGAAAACATTAAAAAAACTTATTTAAGTTATTCTATTTGTTCATTGCTTTTCTTATTGTCTGTTATATGTGTAACGCTCCCCCCCCCCTCCCTCTATAATAAATAAATATATTAAATATGTTATATATAATTAATTTACTCCTTTTCAATAAAATTATATATATATATATATATATATATATATATATATATTTGTGTCCGTAATCCGTAAACACTCACGCCTGTCACCCAGAGGGGTAGGCAGAGACTACAGATTTCCATTTGGCACGATCCTGACACACCTCTCTCGCCTCCTTCACATCCATACACCTACGCATACATGCTCGTCGGTTAAGGGTACTCCTAATTTGGCCCATTTCCAATAAATCGCCAATTTGGTCTATAAATTTTTGCCTAGGACGTCCCTTTCCGACTCTGCCATTCACTTCTGCAACATAAATTTTCTTTGTCACTCTTTCCTCATTCATTCTTTCCACATGACCAAACCACCGAAGCATTTCTTTCTTAATTCTGGTCACAACATCATCTTGCAAACCACACTCTTCTTTTATTACACAATTACACAACACAGGGTAAGCAACCCTGTCATTCAGATTCAGCCCTAACATACTCCTTAACGACCGCATTTCTACTGCGTTTATTCTACTCTCGTGCTTCTTCTGCCACACCCAACTTTCACTACCATACGATAAAGTAGGGACCAACACAGCATTGTGAATTGCCATACGTGCCTTTTTCGACACATTTTGACTCTTCACAATAGAGTGCAAGGCCCCATTTACTCTATTTCCCGCATTCACTCGTCGTTCTATATCCTTATCATATCTCCCATCCCTGCTAAATACGCAGCCCAAATATACAAACTCATCTACTTGCTCGATCAACTCCCCTTCTATTCTTATTTCACAAATCGTTTTACTTTCTTCTCTTTCAAAAACCATAACCTTCGTCTTACTTGCGTTCACTTTCATACCCCTTTCTTTTAATGATCCGTTCATTAATGTAACCATCATTTGCAACTCGGCCGCCGACGACGCAAGAATAACTTGATCATCGGCGTACAAAAGGCATTTGACGGTTAACTCACCCATTCTTAATCCGCATTCTTCAACTTTCAAATTTTGCAAACAACTGTCCATAAATAGGTTGAACAGCCACGGGGAAGCCACACAGCCCTGTCTGACACCTTTATGCATGTCAAACCAGTCCGAGTAGACCCCGTTGATCCTAACACAAGCATCTTTTTTATCCTAGTAACACATATATATATATATATATATATATATATATATATATGTTCCCAGGATAAAAAAGATATGTTTTGATATTTCTAAATGATCTCTCTAAAGGTTTAGTAACATGCCGGTTGTAATATTTTTGGGGTGATCGTCTCAGTTAGGACCCTTATTTACGTTGTGAGATTAGAACTTTTCTTTATTTTAGCCATTTATATATTTATATACTTTTGTCACTTTTTAGCACTGTTATGTCTTTTACTTATACAAATATTACTGCGTACTTTTACTTATTTCACTTTATAGTTTATTCGTATTAACTAATCACACATCATATATAACGAATAGTAATCAATATTAATATTAATTAAATCCTCCAAGACACCTCTCCATTTCACGGACAACAAATTGTAGGCATAACGCCTACTTAATAATTCTTATATAGACGATCTACTTTTTTAAAATATATCCTGGTCACGGCACCGAATTGTAATGCTCCCCCCCTCCTTTATAATAAATAAATATATTATATATAATTAATTTACCCCTTTTCAATAAAATTATATATATGTTACCAGGATAAAAAAGATATGTTTTGATATTTCTAAATGATCTCTCTAAAGGTTTAATAATAGGCCGGTTGTAATATTTTTGGCGTGATCGTCTCAGTTAGGACCCTTATTTACATGATTTTAGTTTAGTAACTTAGTTCTTTTAGATGTCTTTTGGAAGAATGAATATTCACTAGAGCAATTGAAAGCTGTTGGTAGTGCCTTATAAGCTAAGTGAAACATACTTTAAGAACATAATAGGTGCCTATTCCACTTGTATCAGGTGTATATTAATAATAAATAATAAATTATTATTATCATTTATTCCTTCCCGCTTGAAAAAGGCTCACAATATATTTATACAAAATACCCGATTCAAGGGCTCTCCTACATTTATATGATATGTCTAGGACACATCGGTTAGCGAGCCCAAGTTTACATCGGACCAATTGCTCGTAAAGCAACATACACACCACCATAATAATCCTTTTCAAGTCCCTTATATAGGACTAGTCATTTTGCTACAGTACTAAGAGCAGTCGGTCACCCGACCACCCCATATAATGCTTATGCATCAAGGAGACCTACTATAATAATGCTTTTGTATCATAGACCTTACTATTATATGTCCTTAATATATAGGATTTCAACCCACAACTCGACTATTGTAATGCTAATTCATCATAGAGACCTTCTATAGTATTGCTTTTGTATCATAGACCCAACTATTATATGTCTTTAATATATGGGACTTCAACCCATAACTCTAGTATCATAATGCTTATGCATCGTGGAGACCTTCTATAATAATGCTTTAGTATAATAGAGCTTGCGTAGGACTAGTCATTGTGCTACAGTACTTCAAGCAGTCGAACACCCGACCACCCCATATATATGTACAACTGCAAGCTTCGATCAACAATATCAACTGGATGTCGGGTCGTCGCAAGAAATCCATCTACGTAAATAAGAGCGCACATGAGACGTGAGCTCTTGCACGTGAGAGTGTAGCTCGCAAGGCAATAACGGGAAAAAGAACTTTATTTGTTAAAACTTAAGGTTGATATCACACTAAATGTTATTTTATTTATGTCTTTTCATAGTTTATATTCATGCGGATAGTATTTAGCTATGATTTTGTACGTGACCCGTTATCCAGTTGGTATTGTTGATCGAAGACTGCAGGTATGTATCTCCAGCAGCTCCTCCATACAAGCTATCTATATATAAACACCTTCCACAACTAAGGAAAATTTTCTTTTATAATATATGAACTCCTTCCAAGACAGACAATTTTTAACCAATTTTCTAATTATCTTATAAATGTTATTTATCTTTATTTTTATAATATTTTTGACTTGTATTTCTATTATATATCGTATTTTAAATATTTTTACAAGTTTTTTTAATAAATTTATTTATTCTGAAAGAAAATATTTTGCCTTAAATTTACTATAATGTACTTAATGTAATGAAATGTATTTATTTTTAACTTTATGCTTATTAATGTATTTTTATTGTTTAATATATATCTTTTAAGACTATTTTTGATGCCCCCTTATATAGAAATT